GCCTTCGGTATTTTTCAAAATCTTGGATTTTCTAAAATGGCTGTAACTCAAAAAATTAAAGTCAAAATTAGCTCCAACTTTCTAGACATAAGGACATCAATAGGTGTCAGACAATGTAATAAAAATTAGAAGTGTTTTGATGATAAAGTGCATAAACAGTGTACCTTTGACATTCTGATCATAAACTTGACTACAAAAGTCTTAAGTCCAGGCATGACATCCCCAAAATTATCTTCATTGCGGAATATTAAGCTCTCACAAGATCTTAATTGAGTATTGAGAAATTCAACAAAATGTTTTAATTCAGACCATGATGGATCTTTCACTCCACACTGCCTATAAGATATAATTTGTTAATTGAGTACTATAAAATACAAATGTATGACTTTAAAACAGGTCATACTTCAATAAGACTTGTAAACATTCAACATTTTCTCTTTCAAATACTCTAGGATTATAAGAAAATCTGTCTAATGAAAAATGGCTAATATGTCTCCTCAGGTACTGATAAACACGTTGAAAATGTGAACTCCTAAACTCCTTTTCATCTATTAATTGAGCAAAAGCATCTACACACGTAATGATATTAAAATTAAAATCAATTTAACGGTCCTGCTATTACCTCCTCTTCCTCCTTCAAGCACATTACAGACTGATCTAGGAGACAAACACTGAACTGTAGGAAGAAGCTTAAGTAGTTCAACTGTTGGCTTAGCAAACTTAATATTATTCTATAAACAAAAATTAAAACATAATAATAACATCAGTACTACACTCAATGAAGCACCTATGGTGCGTGGACTCGCCTGCTGAGATTCACATGAGTGATAATGTGTTACTTGTACTGCCCCATGGTGATATTATATTTAAGCAACTTGATATTTGAAAAAAGGATAATCGATTTTGCAACAATGCAATTACTGCACTGTTCCATAAAATAAATCATAGGTGTAGTCTGCAGATAAAATGGCACATGGCTAGGAGAAAGAAGAAAAGCTGAATTTATTTTAGCATCTGAAGCTCTATTCAAAAAAAAAGTTGGCACAAAACTGTTGCCTAGATATTTAAAAGAGACTGAGAGAGTCCGGTTGCTCCTGCTTTCTCCAGTGCCGCTTGAAAATTTTTCAAAGAGGCTAAATCATAAACTGTAACTCACAAACTAAAAATAGATAAAAAAATTCCCACATTATTTTTAATCTAGGTACTTTTCTCTACCTATCAATGCTAATTTTGACCACATAGAGTGAAACACAAAGATTTGGCTAGGAAAAGTGGTCTATTCTTCAAAATATTCAGGCTTTGCTACCATGGATTGCTACTAAAATACAATGGAGCTAAATAAATTTAAAGCTTTAAAAGAATTATAACTCAGGAGAGCTCAGTAAAAAAGATATTGACCAGGAATTAACAGGAATTTTCGTGACAGAATGACAACTCAACTGCATAGTACCCACTTTACGCAAGCATGGCGAGTCCAAAAATATGAAGTTAATTATGAACCTGTAACACAGATACTTCAATGGCATATAAATGAGAAATGAAGGATCTCCAGATTTTTCCCTGACTGTCAGATACAGCTTGTAGTATCAGTAATGAGAACAATACTGAATCAACCTGCCTTAACACCTACATGTATTAAATCACATGACATGCAAAACATTATAATTTTATTGATTCTTACATTTGGTGAAATATCAAGATGAAATATAATCGCTTGATTAGTGTCTTTACTACCAACACTACTTTTTAACAACTGAACAATACTGTCACTAGTAACTTTAGGACCGTGAACTGGTATAATAACATCAGAAGGGATTCCATAGCACTTTTTTCTCAAATCCTCCTTCATTCTTTGAATATACAGTGATTTACCCATTCCTGTTCTATCAGATGTCACCACACGTACACATGAACTAATAAATAATACAAAATAATAATGCAACACACAATATTTGTTACTTTTCTGTGTCAATAGTAGAAGCAAGTACTCTTCTTCCTAAGGTGTTAGGATTTTGCACAAAATGAAACTTCAAATATTGTTTGTAATCATCATCACAATGAAATGCCTCCAGCTGTTGCTTGAAAAATTGAAGTTTCGATATCATATGTGACTTGTCAAGATCTTCACCACTACATACTATTACTAGCCTATAATCTGAACATGAAAAAGATATAAAGAAAATTATTAGAAAGTTACCACAATTTTTACCATTTATAGCATAAGAACAATCAGAAAGTGATTTCAATGCTTTATCACAGACTTGATAAGAGAGCAGTTCAGCATGTACTAGACAGAATATTCTAAAGTGGTTAGGATCTCCCATAGCTCTCCTCCACAACAGAGTCACTTCTTCCTCAGTTGTATTCTCATTACAAATAAGAACTTCTTCATATGTTGGCATGGGAAGGTCTTTACTCTCCATGTATAGTGAAAGGACAGTTTTAAAAACTTTATCTGATGAGAAAATAATCATCATAAATTAATTTTTTTCTAATATACAACCTGGAGGGGTTACTAGTAGATTAGGTTCACCAATTTTTAGTCCTTCAGGAAATTTCCTTCGCAAGCCAACAGTAGCTGATAAAGATTACAAAATTAATAGTCTTAAGCAAGTATTGTAAACTTACGTTTATTACTTTGAGAAAGTTGTTGTAGAGTCATACCCAGTGCCAGTATGGTGAGGTAATTTTCAGCTGAAGTTTCCTCACTACTTGTGATTACCAAGTTTCTACAAAAAATTTACAGTGAAAAATATTCATTTAAAAATAACAGAATGATGTGCATTGTACTTACTGTAGCTCATCAGAGTCTGCACTGATTTGTCTATCATATTCTCCAATGCTATCATGTCTCTCAAAGACACTATCATAAGGTACTGGAGCAAACAGTTCACCACATTCAGGTGGACCCTCCATTAGGGAAGCCATTGCTCTTTCTATATTGTCTGGATGTTGCTCAGCAGCAGCTAATGACTCTTCTACAGTAAAACCAGAATCAATCAGACCTCTAACAACAGGGCGATCCTCACTGATGGGTACTTGATCAACTACTTTTATCCTAGCTGGGCAAGAGGCTGGAGGATGAGAAAAATGAGAGGAAGCATGTGATGCAAGAGGAGGTACTTCAGTCCAAGTCTCTACAGGTCTATCAAAGGACTTTTCAAGAGCAGAATAAGAACCAGGAAGGTAAGGTGGTTCATTCAGTGCAATTGCCTCTTCAACATTAATATCCATATTTTCTGAATGTAGTTCATCTTCATCTTCAGCATATGTTTCAGTATCTGTTTCACTTTCAGCATCACTATCAGTAAAGTTAAAATTCTCTTCATTCATAATGCACCACTCTATTACTGCTTCTTGTATCCCTGGCTTCTCGCATCTTTCAAATGCAAGAAAAATGAGTTTCTTTGGAAAACCAAACTCTTCCTTTAGATCATATACCATTGCTTTCTGGTTGTCAGTTAAATCTTCATCTGTTAGCTTAGGTTGAGGGCCTGAGGGGGTCACAGTCTTAAGTACTGCTTCTACTATTGGTTTAGTTAATGGCACTGAGTCTCTGTTCCCTATTGATTCTCTATTCGTATGCAACTCAGCTGCATTATCTAGTAGCCTGGAAAGAGGATATACATAACCTGATAAATAAGACTTTGATGATTCGCTATGAGTAAATAATTGATCTTGCAAATATTGCTGCTCGGCAAGTATACCATTAACTGTTTGAACTTCATTTTTGATGGCATCAGAAGATAAGTCATGTGAGATGCTCTGCAGTAGAGTCATGACTTCTTGTTTGATTGGTCTAGCTGGTACTTCACTTCCTTTGAATTGACCTAATTCCTCTCTCAGGGTCAGAAGTTGAGGAGTTGTGAAATAATTGAGTTCATAAAAATTATCTCTTTGTTGAGCAAGTAGACATTTCCAAGTTTGCAGATCCTCCTCCAATGCACTAGCTATGACCTGAAGACAGTTTACAATGTCATCCAATGCACAAGAGAAGGTTAGTGTCCATCCAATATACTTGTCATTGCCATGTTGCTGTAACTCTATTAGAACATCAGTGATCCTACATACACTGTGGAAAACCTGAAAAAAGAATTATTATGCATGCATGAATTTGACTACATAGAGCTCACATTAAGAAAAAAGTCAGCTTGTTTCCTTTCCTTTGCTTCTCTACCTGTTATTAATACTAGTTTGCTCTCAAGGTCTCTTAGTTCATCAAGGTTATAATGCAACTTGTGGATCCTTTTACGTTTGGATTGCCTCATTCTTAAGTTGATACCTTCTGAACGGCTAACCAAAATTCCTTTCTTAGAGGATCCAATCTTATAGACGCCGTAATTATTAATGTTATTAATCTGACCAAAAGAGGTCACTTCCACAAAGCCTTGTGCCTCCTTAACTGATTGATACCAATCAATTTCTCTTTCACATGTTCTCTAATGTTAAAATAAAATAGTTAGGATATTATGGTAATATCAATTACCATCATTTCTGGAAGATTAGGAGCTGTTTCTAGTGTAACCCATAATCTCTTGCACAGCTCCTGCAGTTTCTGGTAACTTGCATCTTTTGTTAATCTGTATATTAAAGGACCAAACCCACTACCAACTGTAAGTAAAAATGATAGCTTATCAGTAGTCATATCATCCTCTCCACCAGCTGCTGTAGCTAATGCAACTGTCACAAAATTAACTAAATTTGTTGCATCTAGTAATGGTAAACATACCAAAGATAACTGAAATGAATAAAAAATGAAAATACCTTTTGTTTCATTTCTAATCCATTCTATAATTCTCTGACAATCAGCAAATGCTTCAAGACATTCTATTTTAGCAGTACCCATTGCATATTCTTGAAGAAACCTTGCAGCATTCACCACACTATGATCAATAGTGCTCAGTGTGGCATGATTAGATAAAAACTAAATATTTAAACAATTATTTAAATATGAATTTTATTTATTACTGTATAAGTGGCATATTTTATTTATTTTATGGTTTACATGTGAGCTACTAACTTCATTAACAACAAAGAAACAAGACACCAATAGTGCACTGGCCTCGCCAAAACCATAAATATACTACCTGTAAACGGGATTGGAAACTACCGTTATTACCCATGGGTACCTAGTCTTGTGTAGCCAGCCCTTCCCTCTATGCCTACAGAAGGGTTAGTCCAAACATAAATTATACCAGTATATAGTGATAAGAAACACTCCAAACCAGATGAAACAATCTGGGTTACTTGCGGTCACTCATCTAAACCACCCACGTGTAATTATGGCTACATTTATTCTTTTTGTAATAAACATGTAAAATTTTTGTAAAGTAAAATTGATTCAATTAGATGACTTCAAGGTAAGCACACATGTCTTACTAATGTATTAAGTACTTCTTTCAAGTAGAATTAAAGCAAAAAACAAAAGTTAAAGAAAAACTTAGTAACTTAAAACATGAAATTTATAAAATTGTAAAAAAATAACAAAACATTCTCCTGTCACAAGACCCATACAGTACTATCTAGTTAGGTATACTCTATCAATCTGAAAGGACAAAACCTCCCAAACAAGATCATGTTGTGAGTGAATGTGTGTTAAAAAATGGTGCTCCAGTGAACAGTTTATTCCTCAGTTTTACAACAAGAAACTGGACATTTTATAACAAGTTTTGTATATAAAATGATGCAGAATAACGAGATAATGAATCGAAAGAAAGTAACCAAACTGGAATAACAAGAACGAGCTTCCAATAAATGTGGAAAAACCTCATCAAAAGCACACACATCCTTGAGCTATGCCACATAGCTTTCTGTATATACTCCATATCTGGACTCTGGTGCTAGTAGAAGAGCGGTGTGGTTTCCTCTTTCACATGATACCTAATTAATGTTGGTATTCAGCAGCAAAAGCAAGTTCTCGCCTGTTTCATCGTCAGCAAAAGTCCTCCATTACTCTAGACAGCGGTAACTCGGATTGTTTCCCTCATGTGATGTCACTCCCATTGAATTTATATTGGAGTGTTGGAATGTTTCCTATCCCGGTACATATATATAATCTATGGTCCAAATGTCAAAAAGGGAGATGGGTCTAGCCACGTGAGACTATGGGAAAGGTCTGGTGGATTCCCCATAGGTGGACTTTTTGGCTACACGAGACTAATGGTACCAGGCTGGTTGGGACCACTCTTAGTATACCAATGGTGAAGCTTTGTTGGACTCTAGCTACTGCATTTTAGAATGAAACAGCTCAGTTTTACTTCTATAGACTCTTCTTAAGAGCCTTCAGTGCACCGTGATGTTCATTTTAGTTTGTGTTGCATATATTGTGAGTAGTGGAATCCCAAGTGATCTGGCAAAAATTCAGTCAAATACCCTAAAAAGCTCTTACTGAGTAGTTTCTTACCTTATATAAATGTTATGTTGCCCTGAAGGCTCTTAAGAAGTATCTATATAAGCAAAAACTTGCTTGCTTCATTCTGAAATACAGCTGCTAGAGTCCCACAAAGTTTTGCCATAGAGCCAATGCTTTTTTGCAAAGATTTCATTAGATTTGGTGAGGATACGCCCCAAGCCGCCTTGCAATTATTACCGTTGAAGTTTCCAATCCTGTTTTTACGGGCAGTATATCTATGCCAAAACAAAGAAAAGCAACATTAATTTTGTTTACATGTATGATTTCAAAACTATATTTTGTCCTGCATTACTGGTATATTACTTGCTTAGATAGTGTTGATTGCTATAGTTGTGATTGCAATCTTCATAGTCTAATAATTATGTGAGGGTGTTTGGGTGTAGTTGCAAACTTACAGCGCAGTATAGATAATAGAGTAAATGAAAGGGATTGAAAATGGAAGCGTGGGCGTAGCTCAACCTCCATTCATTTGTATTGCTGCTAGGCTGACAGAGGCTCGTTGAAATTTTTTGTCACAATTTACCCTTGATTTCCTTTCTTTTAGGAGCAATATCTCGCGAACAAGTGTTCCTATGCAAGTGAGATTATTGCATCAAGAAGCCTAATGTTTCCTCTTTATAATTCTGTTTTCTATTGTATAGATAATTTTACTATGTTAATTTTATGGCACTTTTAAAACCATAAAATGCATGTTTTGTCATTATAATCCCTTTTTTGAAAACAAGCTAGAGTAAGATACAAAATCTTTATAATCATATGAAAGAACTTTCATTTGCATATGGAATGATACTAGTTAGAGTTAGAATCCATGAAACATGACTACATGAGTTTGTTACAACAGAAAAAGGGCGAAAAGTGAAAAATTTTGTTGTATCTATAACTCATTGCAAAATAGCGTTGTTGAAGTAAAAACCTTGTTGCAGGTAGTCCCACACTTTCTATATGGAACGGTAGGTATATCATAAGTAGTGTGCCCTTGGATCTCCATAAATATCCTTTGAAGTCCTTGCAGTACAGCCTCACTAATGAAGGAGATGGGAAATCAACCAGGTATTGGGCTGGTAACCAATAGCAACATCAACCAGCCTACACCCCCATTTCCAATCCCTTTCATTTACTCTAATATCTATGAGCAAAGCATGGCAGTTGTTACAGTACAGAGAAAGTGTCAAATCTTGATTGCTGGAGTAAAATGGTGTCTCTTGGAGTAACTGCTGAAGAAGCTTGAGTTTCTTGGACTTCTATTCAGTGCACACATGCATTTAGTAGGCCCGATTTGTTCCGTACAAACTCTTGTCAAGCGTCTGAAGTTTATAGGCCTAAACTACTCTTCCTAAGGCCAAGCGCCTCATGTAAAGTCAAGAGGTAAGTAATATAATAGTCTCGGCCCAGTCTGGGCCAAGG